GACCACTATTTTATTACATTAATATATTTTATTATATATTCATTGCTTATCAATTTGAAGAAGATATTCACACGATATTCTTATCTAATTATCATTTTCTATATCATGATCGTTTTGCAATATATTATTATTATCATTTTTTTTATAGTTCTCAATTTTTTTTATAGATAAAATAATTTTAATTTTATTGTGTTTCATATAATATTTGGATTTCAACAATCAGCACAAACATGCTTTTTGGCTAGATTAGATATAATTCTAAAAAATACAATATTTTATAGAGTTTTTTTATTTTATAATAAAAGTACTAATATATTTAAAGCATAAAAGATTTCAAAATTATCGAAAAAATTGTATGTACTCTATTACATGGAGTTATAGAAGAGTTTTTGATCGGATTGTTACTAAAAAAATATTTATTTATAAATATTAGGTAAACATTATATCAAGAAATTAATTTTGAAACTTTTTTTGTGTGATATTTATATCAAATATTTCTTATATGAGCAAAACAGATATGAAGGCCTACAAAGTATATGTTCTTTGAAACTTTTAGTATAGTTTTCATTGCCAAACTTTTTTAACAATAATTTATGTAAAGATTTTATTGCAAATGATTGCTTACATTAATAGAGTTAGCAACTTAAAACTTAAATATATTCATTATAGATTTACTATCAGTGCTTTTTTCTATGAATTTCTATTTGTGAATCTAACTAAATTAGTACTAAATCAATACGAATCAGTGTTAAAAACAATTAACCTCCAACACGATACTAAAACTTTTTAAAATATATATTTTTTCTTCAAATTACCCATGTAGTATAAAAATATTTTACTTATGTTTAAAACTACAATCTCCATTGTTAATGGACATCCTTGAGGACTATTAAAAAATACCAACAGTCTTTTTCTGAAGCAATGCAACAATTTTGTCATTGTTTATTTTAGAAGTAGAACTACATTTTTTTGCTTATAAATTTGCGATGCAAAAATTTGAAAAAAATATATATCTTGATATTAAATATTTATGTTTTTGTTAATTTTAGAATTGAAACTACATTTTTGCTTATGATTTTAAGAAGATGATGTTAATTTATTTGTTCTTCAGGATGATTTAATTGAAAACAAAATATGATGTGAATTAAATTCATGATGTTAGTCGTTCTATACTAATCTTTTTCTCACAAGTTCATTATTACATTTTTATCCATATTGCATAATCATCTGACACGCTTTTAGAATTAATCTCCTCGTCAATTTTTCTCAATTTATCAAGAAAATATCTTCTAACGACTACATTTAGTCACGAAAAACCACCCTATAAGATAATCTTGTTAAAACCCTTTTTGGCTGAATGTTAACCTGACAAATTACCGTTTGACGTTATGCAATTTGTGGTCGATCCATGCCGATGTACCGGATTACTGGCAGAAAACCGATATAATGATTTTATGTAGAATTCGTGCTTTCACTTTGGCCATTAACCTAACTCGATCGTTTTACTAAGAACACTAAGCTTGCTGAGTTTTTTTCTTTTGACTTTGATCCTTGGATTTTCATGATCTAAGACAGAAAAGGATCATTTTGTTGTTACCGGTAATGTTATTCCAAAGCCATAGTATTGCATGTGAATTGAGGTGATGGAGAATAACCGTAATAATAAAAACGGTTTATTGAATGGGAATCGTTGAAAGATTTTTCGGAATGTGTATTTGCTACGTGCTTGTATTTGCTGTGATATTCATGGGAAATGCAGAATTATTACTAAAATATGTTATGTCAGACTATTACATGACTTTATAGTTCCATATTTGTAGTAAACTTGCACATCAAATGTGTTATATAACAAATATAAACTAATGCCATGTAATGCTAGCAAAAATAATACATATTTCAGACTTTTTCTTATCTTTTTCAAGCAAAAAAATATTTATTTTTGTATTTTTTAAAAATTGTATTTATTTAAAATGATGTTCAAGAAAATTACATTATAATTTATACTATTTTTAAATATTTGAAGATGTTTAAAAATGAATGAAAAATAATCAAGATAAGACTATTATTATTATTTATTTCTATAATGTATAATTTCTGTTATACATTCTATTTCTGAATATTTACTTGATTTTCACACTCCCATTAATCTTATGTGCAAAAGTACAAGAACGCTCAACCGTATATCGATTTTTCTCATTGTCAGTTGTGATGTTTATTTTTATCATTTGCTTTAATGATATGCATTATTATTTATTAATATATTATAAAGAAATGATAATGATGAAAGAATAAACTTAGTTAAAACTGGTAAGATAATACAATTAAAATTCTTTTCGTCACATAAAGTTTTTATGCTATTGTTTTAGTCCAATAACTTACAATGCGTTTAATGTTACCGCGATATGAAATATTTTAAAAAATAATTATTTGTGTTTAATTTATTGAATTTATTATTATGTGTGTTAAATATTTAATATGATTTGCATTTTTTTAAGTAAATAGTGTAGTTTTGTGTATATTTTGATTTAGAAATTTAAATAGATTTGTTTAAGTATTTAGGTATTTGAGAAACATTATTTATTTACAAAATATATTATTTTTAATGGGATATAAAAAAGGCAATAAACATTTAATAACACGATTTAAAATACTTATGTCTTATATGCGCTATATGTGTCCTCATATCATTCCAAAGCCTCAGTATAAAGACCATAATGATCCTTATCGTTTTATATTAAGAAAAAAGCGTGAAGAACCTGATCTCAAATCTTTTACAAATGAAACAATATAATCAATAAATGATCATGTTGTTTTAGGACAGAACTTTAATTATTAGAAATTTGGTTCTTAAAGAGTATTGGATATACATATTCTGGGAATTTTCTGTTTGATGTTGAAATGTATTCTTGAAAATGTATCAGCTAATAATATAGAAAAAAAAAACAAATTCATACCAGAATGTCATGTGAAACCAAAAGATAAATTCACATTCAAGTATTATCATATCACACTCACATGTTCAAAACATATTTTACATCAATCTAAGATTCTACAACTAAATAACATGCATTTTTGCGCTAATTTTGCGTTTATATAACAACATCCATATATTTGCATACTTATGATTAATTAATATATAGCATGCAGATTTTGTACGCAAGTGTTCAATCATAATCAAAGTGCAATATTAGTATGCAAATTGCGTTCGGGATTGTTTTTCTTAATATTATGCACTTGATCATTTATGCAGTCAGCCACATCTGGTGTTGAGTTGATAGACAAATAAGTTGATATTCGCTATAGATAATCCTAATTGACAACGTAAATCAAAACCAATCACCAATTCAAACATTGCGCGAATGGCGAAACGTACACATGTCCTTATTTGAAGTCAATTATTTGTTGATGAAGTTAAGCCTGTTTTCATCAATAACCAGAGGACAGAGGAACAGTTGATTTAAATTAAATTGCACTGTACCTTGTTCGCAATATGCATATAATTGAAGCTTACAATTCACCAAAGAAATTGACTTGGAACCATCTGTATTCACTCATTTTTTACCAATTAAATTGCCATGCTGCTTAGTCAGTGTCAATATTTAGGGTGGATCGTTAAATTTTTGAAGCTGTGTTTTATTGGGTTTTCAGTTTTCTTTTTTTTAATTGATGGATACTTTTGAATGTTGAAATAATATTAACCGAATTTGCCATCACTGATAAAAGAAAATTCTAGAGAACAAAATCTAAACTTCGAGAATATAACTCAAGGTGATGTTTTTCATTGATATTGTTTTTGTATTTAATTTTTTTCTTTAAAAGTAGTATTTTTGTGCCAATCTGCAATATTTAGTATACAACTAGTTATCTGTAAAGTATTCCAGTTATAAATTAGTCTTATTACATAGGATGCAATTAATTGAATATAGTTTGTTAGATTTAAATTACTATGCTACGTGCAAACTAACCACATAATTTTAAATATTAAATTGATCTAATAAAGTTAGGATAAATTAAATATAACCTAATATGGAAAATTTCATCTCCGTTAAGACAAATAAACCTTTTCTATTTTTGGAGTCAAATTTGCGATTCCTTCCGTCTACCACAGAAGTTCAGGCTGTGCATACGTACATATAAAATGAGCTTTGAATTTAAATTAACAAAGTTGTGTATAATAAAACTTGTTTTGCGAGATATCTATTGCAAATGATAGAATTAATGATAGAATTGTATTATATGCATTATAAAATTAATATTATTATTTTTTATTTTACCAAAGATAGCAGATCATAATTTTCGCATAATGATATACAAATTTCTATATTAATTATTTTATAAGACATTCGGAATGGAAATGAAATCAAATTGAGATAAATAATTTTTTCATTAATTTAATTGCAATTTGAGTTTTTTTAATGTAAAATGCTGTTGGTTAGATAATTATCATAATATGAAGTTTAGAATAGTTTTTTTTTTTTCATTCTCAGTATTCTAAAATAAATATTTATTAACGCATGTTACTTTTATAAGAGTAATAATTTGGTTTCGAACCTTGTTCGACTAAAATTTTATTTATATTTGCAATTGATTACTTACTGAAATATTTTAAATATATTCGATTTTAAACATAAATTTATATATATATATATATATATATATATATATATATATGGCGTTGATTGTCCATAATTTACCTATTGGTATTTAACAGGTATTCGACTGCCGGTATGTCACGACTACAAGTGGAATGTTTGAAGCTTTGTGCAACCATATCAAATATAGCACTAATAAAGGAAATATCAGGTAACAATGAAGTATATATATATATATATATATATATACGAGTATATATATAATATCAGTTATCTTGTAATAATTTTATTATTTAACATTGTATGATCTCTGATGTGCAGAATTTAATTTTCTGATTATTCTGACTACTGAAGCACATTGCCAAATTATGCAGAGTGGTAAACAGTATATTGTATATATGGTTCATTTAACAATTCCTGGTAGTAATCATGCCACTAATATAGTGGAGGTAATTTTGTGAACCCTTCGACATACCCTGTTTTCAGATCACGATAGCATATGTTGCTTGTTTGCACGATGTTGCAAAGTTTATCGAGATATGCTCAATATATAATATCAGTTATCTTGTAATAATTTTATTATTTAACATTGTATGATCTCTGATGTGCAGAATTTAATTTTCTGATTATTCTGACTACTGAAGCACATTGCCAAATTTATGCAGAGTGGTAAACAGTATATTGTATATATGGTTCATTTAACAATTCCTGGTAGTAATCATGCCACTAATATAGTGGAGGTAATTTTGTGAACCCTTCGACATACCCTGTTTTCAGATCACGATAGCATATGTTGCTTGTTTGCACGATGTTGCAAAGTTTATCGAGATATGCTCAATATATAATATCAGTTATCTTGTAATAATTTTATTATTTAACATTGTATGATCTCTGATGTGCAGAATTTAATTTTCTGATTATTCTGACTACTGAAGCAAATTGCCAAATTTATGCAGAGTGGTAAACAGTATATTGTATATATGGTTCATTTAACAATTCCTGGTAGTAATCATGCCACTAATATAGTGGAGGTAATTTTGTGAACCCTTCGACATACCCTGTTTTCAGATCACGATAGCATATGTTGCTTGTTTGCACGATGTTGCAAAGTTTATCGAGATATGCTCAATATATAATATCAGTTATCTTGTAATAATTTTATTATTTAACATTGTATGATCTCTGATGTGCAGAATTTAATTTTCTGATTATTCTGACTACTGAAGCACATTGCCAAATTTATGCAGAGTGGTAAACAGTATATTGTATATATGGTTCATTTAACAATTCCTGGTAGTAATCATGCCACTAATATAGTGGAGGTAATTTTGTGAACCCTTCGACATACCCTGTTTTCAGATCACGATAGCATATGTTGCTTGTTTGCACGATGTTGCAAAGTTTATCGAGATATGCTCAATATATAATATCAGTTATCTTGTAATAATTTTATTATTTAACATTGTATGATCTCTGATGTGCAGAATTTAATTTTCTGATTATTCTGACTACTGAAGCACATTGCCAAATTTATGCAGAGTGGTAAACAGTATATTGTATATATGGTTCATTTAACAATTCCTGGTAGTAATCATGCCACTAATATAGTGGAGGTAATTTTGTGAACCCTTCGACATACCCTGTTTTCAGATCACGATAGCATATGTTGCTTGTTTGCACGATGTTGCAAAGTTTATCGAGATATGCTCAATTAATGCGCGTCATGTGGGGCGTAGAAGTGATTTTCAATTAAGACTAAGATAGTTTACTCATTTAGTTATAAACTATATGAGAAGTGATAGATTTTGTAATTCTATGTGAGTGAAAAATCGCTTTAGGTGATTTTAATATAAATCATTTAAACGTAGGTACTTGCAAAAAAGTTAACATGGCAGCTTTTGATTAAAGTAGTATTTTAATATAATCTATCTTTATATAAAGTTAAGAAAATTTATATTGACTTATTTTGTATTGTCATAATATTTTCTTTAAATTTTATTTCATGAACTTATTAACTTCATGAATCCTTTTCTTCGACTCAAGTAATCCTTTCGCACCAATTTTGGTAATAGAATGTATATGTATTGGTGTGTGTATGTAAGTCAAACTTGATCTTTTGTCAAAGATTTTTCAAAAACGGCTTACCAATTTCAAATTTCAAATTCCATTTGTTGAAACTTGATAAAGACGCACTATGATTAGATTTGCGAGACGATCGGTCGAGCAGTTTTTTTTTCATAATTAGCAGATAAGTGCAAAATAAATCATAAGTTTTAAATAAATGATCGTGTTAAGTGCGGCTTTATGATTGATCTTGTGCAAGTAAATTAATATAATATAAATCTGTTCGATCACAGATTTTTTTTAAACGTAAAAATCAGTTTATTAGCAAGCCTTCATTCTCATTTTTGATTCAAATGTTTTTTGTATCAAAAATTTAACAAAGGCCTATTTTATTCCATTTTTTTTTTGTGTCAAGTACGATCATGAAGAGTTTTCGATAATAAAATATAACATGCTCTTATAGAACTAGTTTAATTTATACCTATTAATTTTACTTTTGAAAACGATTTTATAATTATATTAGCAGTTAATTTAATGTAACGTTATTATTTTATAGTACAATATTTAATAATTGTTGATATTAAATATTTTAGACTAATAATTAAAGATATACGGGCTATTAACAGAATTAATTCTACAATTTGGTACGCCTAAAATATATTATAAACGAAATAATTTACATAATTTATATTTATTAGGATATAATTAATTTTTTGCTATGTAATGTAGTCAATGCTTAAATGTGAATTGTTTTTAACAAGGTAAGATACATTTTAATATTGTAAAAAACATTTTAATATTATAACAATGGTTTTGCGAAACTATTGTTTTTGGTAGATATTTCCTCGCCTTACTCAGCAAAAAGTTTTACATTTATTCACTTATTCACTTATGCAACTGTATTTAAGAAAAGTGGAACTTTTAGCATACTTTAACTAAGCATGGCAATTGGAATATTGCATGCATGTGAACAGATTCTAAAATCTTTTTCGGTACATTATTCATAGCAATATGGCTTATTCAAATACTTTGCACGTGCAGCGCAAAAGTAAAACGGTTTGTGAAAAATTTTGTGGGTGATATTCATTTCAAAGTTGAAATATGCAATGTGTGACTAAGTATATAAACATTTTTTAGTTTTATTATATTTTTTATTTATTTAATTATTTATTATTTATTATATACATTAAGTTTATATTAATTGTTTTTTACTAGTTCCCTACAATTAAATACTTCTAGAAACTAAAATAGCAAAAAACGTTTCATAAGGCTTATAATTTTGCAAAATATTATGACCGGAATTTATTTTGAAGATTATTTAAGAGAGAACAAATAAATAAGTTTAAATGCATTCTGCATTCATTCACCAAAATTATCATTAAAAAAGCAGGAGTGTGATTAAAATTGCACTATTTTATTCATTGATTTTACTTTTTGCATACTTTCCAAAAATTGCACGTTTCAATTCGAATTTGATTGTTATTTTCAAAGGGTTTCGGATAATTAGACATTTTGATAGATGACATGATTTGAATACATTGAAAATAAATTAATTGCTTGAGAAAATCGATCCAGTTATACATCGTTCTTTATACATTTCTCATTTTGTTTGAAAAAAAAATGAACAAATTTCTTTTCACGTACTCAACAAATCTCTAAATGTAATATTTTTATCTTTATTTTTTATTTGAGTAAGTATAAATTCCAGTATTCATTTTCTATTTTAAACCCTTATTTACTTGTATGTATTTTTGAATTTATTGGTAATTTTTTATTGAATATCTTATAGTTTGTTTAGCTTATTCTTAATAGGGGAAACTTAAAGAGTGCATTTAAAAAATCAAAAGTAAGATTTATGTTGGGTTAATTTTAATCTGCTATTTTTCAACCTACTTTTGAGCCGGACGTTTGAGACGCTCGCTTTTTTCTTATATGATTTGATTTTATGACTAATCAATCTATTGTATTTAGGAACATTATTTCAGTATTTTCACATAGAAAAAAGCATAAGTTATCATACTCCTCTACTATTATTTTAAATCTTAATCACATTTTAACACTTTTCTCCAAATTCCCTAAAGTGAACCTGCTCAATACCCATTGGTCAATGTTTCTGGCATCGTTTGAGTCGATGAATCTCACAAAAATGTGGCAGATTTTTACACACATACAAATTTTATCAAATTGTTAGTAAGTTGATATTTAAACAAAACAAAATATTTTACATTGTTTGCGATTTATATTATACTAAGTAAAATGATCGGTAATTATGAAATTATTTATATGTAACATACCTACATAGAAACATAACAAATATAAGTACTTCCTTTGTTTGTACCTAATCAAGAAAAAAGAGTAAGTATATTAATTATCCAAGAAAAATCTCCAACAGCACATATAGCCAAGTCCAGCATGTAATTGCTTCAATAAAACCGAGAACGCCTGTTAAGAGTGCTCCGACAGAATTCCCTCGGCAAACATTAAACAGCTTCCGAACGACTCGGAATTCTGTGTAAAAACATTATATGCAGCTTGATATCTAACAAAAGAATCACCAATGGGATTTGTAATGCACCTGGCCTTTATGCTATTATGAATTTTTCCATACGTACATACTACTATTCCAAATCCAGTAAAATTCAGAATAATCTTTTCTGTTGCTACCTTTAGAAATATTTCAAAGACTATTTCAATCAATCTTTAAAATCACGTTCTCGAAGATATTATCGAACTTTTACGACCGAATCGTTTATATCAGACTCTTGGGAGCAACTGAAGCTATAATAAAATCGTGTAAACATTGTTTTCTCTATTATTTTCTGAGCGCTATAATACGTGAAGATGGTATATAAAGGATTATTGGAGTTTTTTATAACACAGGTTTGCAGTTTCAATCATTCTTATTTCATTTTTTACATCGTAAAGTTTTTTTTATAATGGGCAATAGCCATATATTCCCATAATGATACAAAACTTTCTGGAGGAACAATTGTTTTTAATATTATTTAGATAGCCTAAAACGTTTAAAAAAAATTAATTATAATTTCTAATATTAGAACAACTGCGGCATGATTGTTGTGAAACAGAAATTCTTAATTACTCTTAGTTTAAAATATTGTAGAAAAGCGTGGGTACGGTTGTGACACTTTTTTTGATCAGCCATAATTTTGTTAACCAGTTAGCTGGTCAAACAACTAATCAAAAATCATTTAAATAGCAATTTAAACATTTGTCTACGTGGAAATACTGAAACACTCTCTTTAAATACGATGTATTAGCCATCAAATGAAATCATACAGAAAAAAAGCTTATGACACCATCGTCCACATCTGAGAGATGGTTGGGGTCAGTAGTGACAGCCATAAAATAGTTTAAAACAATATGTATAAATACCAAAATGGTTTATAACAACTTTTGTTAACGATAATAATAATAATATGTGACAAAACACAACATTAACATTTAAACAAAGCTTATGAATAAAATATAACAATATATAACAAAACATATTTTTCTAAACAAAGTTAAGAAGAATTTTTTGAAAATCTTTTTCTTTTTTTACAAATTATTTAAGTAAAAACTAATTGTTGGTATATAACTACTAATGTTCATCTTGAAGCAGAATAACAAACAAAAAATCTATCTACCAAAATTTGGCTTTTTTGATGATTTTTTAAAGATAGCAGCGCCAATTTCATATCTATTTTATGAAATTCGATAAAGACTTACGTTGTTCAATTTTGCGAGCCGATCGGCCAAGCCGTTTTCTTTTAATTAGCAAATAAATGAGTTTATGTTTTAACAAAATATACTGATCTGATATAAAAACGCTATCATACCGCAGCTTTTATATAAACTAAATAATATTATGATAAATATGTTAGTATGAACGATAACAAAGAAGATAATTGAGTTTCATATTGCTATCAGCATTTTCTCTTTACAAAGCGATTATATTTCCAACTTGATTACGAGTAATAATATTTTAAAATTACTTGATTATATATTTGCACTAACTACAAAACTTGGCAAAATCATTTTTTATTAATAATTACATCTTAATACAAATCTGTAATCAATCAAATCTAACACATACAATATTAGTATATGAGTAAATACTGAAATATTGTTCTCAAATACGATACATTAGTCATAAAATCAAATTTTAAAAGAAAAGGGCGGGTGTCACAACCGTTCACATCCGAGGGATGGTTGTGAAAAATATAAAAAGATTTAAAAAAACAATAGCTAATAAACACCAAAAATTTATACATAAATATATACCGATTTATACATAAATTTATACCGATTATTATACTTTTTGCCTATAAATAAATAAAAATTTACTAATTTTTATATACCACGTATCAATTTTTTTGCTTCCTGTAGCGTAAGTTATAGTAATGGGCCAAAAATCGAAAATGAATTTTTTTGCATATCTTCACATTTTGGCATACCTTAGAAAAAATGAATGTATGTGTGTGTGTATGTTTTATGTGCGGATACAATTTTTCGCCGACGATTTTGAGAATAGGGATCAACAAATTTGGATGATTCAAAAAACATTTGATCACTATTAATAAGGAGCAAAAAGTGCCAAAAATGGTAATTCAATTTTTGAGAGAACCGAGCGTCCGCTTTGAATGATTTAAAAACATATTTATTTGTATTGATGAAATGAAGAACTGGTAACACTTTTGGTAAGGCAGGTTTAGCGGTTTCGGTAATCCAATAAAAACAGTTGACAACAACGACATTTGGCGGACAAATATGATCATTAGGCATATTCATCTTTTTTTTTCAGATAATTGTTTTAATAATAAGAACAAATTTTGCTTACTTTTCTAGGCGTTTCGTATCAATGTTTATCCGTTACACTGCGGCGCGGCGCTCAAGCGCTTCCATATTTCTGCGAGAAACGTATCGCAATTGCTTTGAAAAAAAATTCCAAATTATTTTTTCAAAGTTCTAAAAAAAATTGAATCTTTTTTAAAAATATAAATTTTTTATACGGAAAGTTTCAGCAATTAAGGCCGATGCCATAAACCACTAGTTAGATTTATATTGAAAGAAAAATGTGCAAATTATCATAATTGGCTTATGTGATTAGCTTGTTATCCTTCAATATCATAATGTTTTCCTGACATAATTTGAAGAGCCCTATTTTGATTCCAGATCAGCGATTACAATATTTCCGCAGCGCAACGGGGCGCAGCGAGACTTCCGCATATGGAACGCGCAACTAATCAGCTATGCAGCTTATCGAGGCCCTGGGGACACCATCTTAGGTATAGACTTAATAATGTTGTAAATATGAAAATAAATTAATTTGTGGAATATAATTACGTCTTAAATTCATTCTTTAGGCGATCCTATGAATTTGGAGTTTACGGAGCTGTGCACCAGATTGGGATGGCGAGGACATGGTACTCGATGGGATATTTTGCCTTTAGTTCTGAGTGCTGGTGGGCATGATCCTGATTATTTTGATATTCCTGAGGAATTGATATTACAAGTTCCGTTAACGCATCCCAGGTGAGACTACTACTTTTATTTTTTTTATTTGATTAATAATTTGAATTACATGAAATTGATACGGATTTGGTAATATCTGAATGTAAAACAATTAGGTGCTTTACTTCTTATGTACAAGAGTTGATATTAATTGAGCATTATTTACACCCAGGGTAAATTAGGCTAATAATTTATTAATCAATATATTTAATTTTAACTGTTAGTTAATGACACATACCTAAGAGACGTCTGAATTTATTAAAAAAATTTTTTTGGCATTTTCAAAGTTTAATATAAATTAATTTTGTAACCCTCTAATAGTTTCACAGGTCCACAAAATAAAAAAGTTGTCTTTACCGCTGAATACAAATCTAGAGTCAAAATCGAGGGTCAAATGCCAAAAAATTTAAAAAAAATTAAAAAACGTTAAAATGTCCGATCTAGAATAATCAAAATCTTATCATTTCTGTCGTTTTCTGACCCTTTTTGCGTTAAATGACTATTGAGTATTCATTTAACTGATTTATTGTTTTTTTTTTTGTAGAATCCAGCAGTATGTTGCCAAAACAGTTTCAGATATTCAAATTACAGAAAATAATGTTTACTTATTAATGCTGAATTATACAAAAAACTTAATAGATCATTTTATTAAAACTCAATAATCAGTCAAGGTAAAAAGAACCAGGGAACAACAGAAATTATAAGATTTTGATTAATCTTGATCGGACATTTTAACGTTTTTTAATTTTTTTTCAATTTTTTGGCATTTGACCCTCGATTTTGACTCTAGATTTGTATTCAGCGGTAAAGACAACTTTTTTATTTTTAGAGTCATTAGATCAAAAATTTTGTCGTTTTTTTAATTTTTTGTCACTTGACCCGCTAATCTGACTTTAGTTTCGTATTTGGCAGTAAAACATTACATTAGAAAACACATGCCGCACACCCAATACAGACAACTTTTTTTATTTTGTGGATCTGTGTTATTAATTATAATATTATGTTTAGCATTTTAAGTAATAAATGCTCTTTCATTATAAAGTATTTCAATACATTTTATCTATTCAACAAGATACTATACTTTGCCTATAATTTATTTAAACTAACGATTAAAATTTTTAAAACCAGTAAATCACAAATATCTTAACGACCTTATTGAATACTATGTATTTATTAGAATTTCCTTTGTTTTGGAGCAAAAAATGTGCCAGGCGTATAAAATTAGATATGAGCAGATACAGTTTCACTTTAAAATAATTTTTAAAAGCATTTAGCAAAAAGCATTAGATTTATTACATTAAGTTATCAGTGTTTTGCGTTTACTAGTTTTTTTTAATTTGCGATTCTAAATCATATGAAAAACTATTAATTATTAATTATAGTTTTACTATTTGCAGAATTTTATAGTTATACTCGTTTTTCTAAAATCATTCCTCAATGTAGATAATTGTAAAAAAAACTTTAAACTTTGTTAATAGTTACAAGGCTATTTTTACAATCTGCATTAAGTTTAAAAAATGTGTTCTGTCTGAAAATAAATTACGCTTTCTGAAATAAGCTGAAATGATACATTATGTTGTTCTCAGTTTTATGTAGTCCAATTTTTATCTTCATTACTGCTATATGCATTTTTCCGTGCCAAGAATTTAAATTAAATTAAAAGTCAGACGAAGTAGACTTTTCAGAAGTAGTTTTGTGCTTATTCAGAAAATTACTTCCGAGAGAAGTTTGTTAATATGTCCCCAGGCGTCCAGTTTCCACAAACACTACGGTAACAAATGCTGAAAGCAAAAGAAATATTTACAGAACCAACGGTGGTGCATTTTTATGGCGGCTCTATTAAAGTAAAATGTTTACTTTTATCTTTTATTTTATGGACATCATGCAAGTATGTACTGATGTTAGTTCAAGTGAGAGGTATCATTTTGAAATCGTAAGTGCTAGTTTTGCATTTTACTGCCTGTTTTGAATTTACTGCTACAATATAGTTAAGTATTAAGTTGTTATTAGTAACCTGTAAATATTCACACATAAAATATAATATATATATATATATATATATATATATACAGTGGTGTTGTGCTAATATTTTTTTTGCCGGAACGCTAAAATTTAAAATCCGGTTCATAAACCGGTTCCATAAATTTGATATATTTCGATAAGAACTCACAAATGGTTGACTTATAAAATATATTGACTTATATAATTATTATACAATTATTATATATATTGACTTATATAATATATTGACTTCTTATATAATTAACTCTATTATATACAGCTACTCTATAAGGTATTTATTATGATATAAAATTACTCAAGATTTATTACAATACTCTATAAGACTTAATAATTACTTAATCTAATAATACGATAAATAACCTATTACCTATCATGCTATACTATATTGTTGTATACCATAGGTAGATATCTATTATCAATCATACCGTGAGATACCTATACTGTCATTAACTTATTATACACCTACATACTTTTTATTTCTCATAAATATTACTGTCTAATTTATATATTTACCTACATTATATAGGTTTACCTTACGCCCTATGTATTATCTCTACCTATCTATTGTCTATACCGGGAATTGAACCCGGGACTTTCGCGTGGCGGTCGCGCACCTTAGCCACTACTCTATCGGGTACCCCCATTAATAATATAATATGGGACGCACTGTTGTTTCCGCGGGTCATTTTTTAATTAATTAGATAATTAATACTAAGGTGGCGCGACGACACGCGAAAAAAGTCGGTTGATTGTAGCGTTACGGTGGTGTAGTGGGTAAGGTTGCCGCGTGTTACGCGGCGGACCCGGGTTCGATTCTCGGTAGGGTTAATGTAGCGTGTAAGGGAAATTATAGGTAACAGGATATATAGTAGATATAGGTTAGGTGTATTCGGTATACAATGTAGGGATTTGAGAGTATATGATGAAATATAGCGTATGGTATAGATGTAAGGCGTGTAGTATAGAATGAAACGTATAGGCATACGTAAGGCTATAAAAATACACGAGTAGGAACCTATGATGTAAGTGTTAGCATATAAGAAATGAATTATAAGATTTAATTTATAAATATTATTTTTTCTATAAGAATTTTTATCTCGGTATTAAATATCTAAAATATCCAAAATATCCGTTAAGGCATCAATTACACCTTACTGCTGCCTTTCCCGTTATCACTTCATAGAAAATTAATTACTGCACTTTTAAACATATTGTGACATTCATAATACTGAGAAATATTAAATTTATTAAATTTGCAAATAACTTGCAGGAATTTTATGATTTTGGTCTAAAAATTTGAATAGAAACATTCCTGTGTGAGTACGTAATAGAGAAATATTCCCCTACGGGGGAATTAATAACTTTTACTTGAAAATGTCAAAAATTTTAAATACGGATACCGATCAGATGGATTTAGAATGCTCCCCAGTCAAACCGAAAAAGGTCTATACGAGTGCTAACAAGTATAAGAGGTCTAATACAGATATTGTTGAAGAAGATTCTTTACATCAGAAAAATGACTCAATTTCCCTAAATGAATTTAATCAAGAAGCAACCACCAGTAAGGATTCAGAATGGTTTGAAGTAAGAAACAAAAAATTCAAAAGAAATTTAAATGAAGAATCAACATGCAAAAAAACATCTTCAAATTCGAACTACTGGCTAAACCCAACTCCCACAAGCAATATATATGAAGTTTTAGCTAATCCTAATACCGAAGATTCGAGTGATAAATGCAGCCCAGTTAACAGACCGCCGCCAATTTTTATACATGAGGTACGTGATATCAAACCATTAGCTCAACTCTTAGAATGTGAAGCAAAAAATCTTTATCAAATAAAAGTTATTGACGAAACTAGGGTTAGAGTTAATCTTGATAATGCTAAACTTTACAATAAAATTCTCAAACTTCTAAAAGAGAGGGGTACTCAAATGCATTCTTTCCAGGAGAAATGTAAAAGAACGTTCAAAATAGTGGTTAAAAACCTACATTTCAGCACGGATACAGATATGCTCAAAAATGAAATACAACAGTTAGGTCACAAAGTCGTTCGTATTGAGAACATTAAAAGCAGAATCTCAAAATTCCCTCTGAACATGTTTTTAATTGAGCTTGAACAACAGCCTAATAATAAAGATTTTTAAAATTGATTTTTTATATAAAACTAAAGTAGAAATAGAGGCAAAGAGGTTCTCTAGAGTAATTGTTCAGTGCACTCGCTGCCAAAGGTATGGTCATACCAGAAATTATTGCCACCGCACCCCAGATGCGTTAAATGCGCTCAAGATCACTTGACAGAAAAATGCAAGTGGGAAAAAAAGGTCGACCAAGTGAAGTGTGTCCTTTGTAATGAAAATCACCCTGCTAACTATAAAGGCTGTCACGTCTATAAAGAATATATTGAAAAAAAAAACACTTCATTACGTCAGAAAACAAGTAATGTGCAAAATTTAAAACCAAATGCTACTTTAAGACCGGCGTAACTTACTCCAATATTACTAGAAACAACACAACTTTACCTACTGACTCAACGAACTCAATAAACAATAGTAACTCTGAAAACAATACTAACAATAAATGTAATGACTTAACAGAACTTAAAAACATGATTAAAATATTGACAGAACAAATGGGCATAATGCTTAATTTACTAACAACAATTTTATCTAATAAAAAATAATTATGTCTATGCAACTAACAATTTGCATATGGAACTCGAACGGCTTGAGCAATCATGTCCATGAACTCAAACAATTTTTAACTACCAATGACGTAGACATTATGCTAATTTCCGAGACGCATTTTACCGAGACAAATCACAATATTCGTTTTCCTAATTATCACACATATACCACAATCACCCGGACGACAGACCTCACGGTGGCACTGCCATTATCATAAAGTCAAACATAAGACATTACGAGACAGAACCTTTTTATACTGACTACATACAATCGACAAATGTTTTAATTGACCTAATGACTCACAAAATTACAGTATCGGCAATCTATTGTCCGCCAAGGCACATTATTACTGAAAATCAGTTTACAACTTTTTTTACCAGCCTTGGAAATTTGTTTATTGCGGGAGGTGATTATAACGCAAAGCACACATTTTGGGGATCTAGACTAATAACACCTAGAGGCCGTCAGTTGTATAATACAATAATATAATAATCTTCGGACATTTTCTACGGGTGAGCCCACATACTGGCCAACTGATTTGAACAAAATTCCAGACCTCCTCGATTTTTTGTAGCCAAAATATTAAAAACGAGAGTGTTGAAATAATTCAAGTCTGGATCTCAGTTCTGATCATTCACCAGTAATTCTTAATACTCCACTAATACTCCAACCAAAGCCATGAGTTCGCTTACAAACAAATTTACCGATTGGCTTCTTTTCCAAGAATACATCGAAGACACCATTAACTGTAATATTCCATTAAAAAGTGAGGATGATTTGAATATCGGTATCAACAACTTCACAAATACATTAATTGCAGCAGCTAAAATATCGACTCCTATTCTAAATCACAATCACAGTCACTCTGTGCCCATAGATATTAAAAAAATCATTGCACAGAAAGGAAATTAAGAAGAATTTGGCAAATAACTAGATCACCGGAAGATAAAAGAAA